ATTCCTAGAATGAAGCTAAAATCAGGTCCCAGGTGACAGGTGTGGAGCAGGCCTACAGCGTAACCTCACTAGAGAATCCTCCAGAAGAGACGTTTCTGGAGAAAAAACCTGGTAGAGTTCCAAGTGGGCCTTATTAAAAGGAGAATTACCTCCTGGAGCAAGAGTTTTGGAGATGAATAATTTCTTATTTTATTTTGTTAATACTGGTTTTGCTGTGATGTTCCATTGTAATATTACATGATTTCAGGTGTGTGTCACTGAGAACCAATATGTTATAAGCCTCATAAAGTTCAGCACTTGTGCATCCAATTCTATTCACCAACCTTTGAGTCCTTTCACCCAATTTGCCCACCCTCATTCTTACAGTCCAAAAGTTTATTTTTTTTTTAAATGTAGCTCATCTGTTTGTTTTCTCTATATACCACATATGAGTGAGTCATATGGTATTTGTCTTTGTCTGTCTGGCTTATTTCACTAAGCATAATTTCCTCTTGGCTCATCCACGTTACAAGTGGCACAATTTCATCTCTCTTTTTCTTAATGGCTGAATAGTTTTCCTTGGTATATATACACCATATCTTCTTATTCTTTCATCAGTTAATGGACACCTAAGTTGTTTCCGGTTCTTGGTTTTATAAACAACACTACAGTGAACAATAGGGGCATGCATGCATCTCTTCAAATTAGTGGGGTTTTTTTCCTAGTAAATAACCAGAAGTGGGATGAATAGATCATGTGTAATTTGTATTTTTAATCTTTTGAGGAATACAGATGAGTAATTTTGAAGTACAGGTGACCCAGCTTTTTGAAAGTTCAAGTTAACACTACTTGGCTTTTACCAAAGCTTTACATCAGTATCTGTTTTCACTAAGTGAAAGAGATCCTAAGAGGATTTCTGCTTTTATGAAAAAAGCAAAAATAGCGTTCAGTGTTTGTCTTTCTGCAGCCATTCTAAGGCTTCACTGACCCCAGCAGCAAGGTAGCACAGTCCTACTCCTTGCCAGGGACCACTTCACGCGGGCTGTGTCTTTGTCATGGCAGTCCAGTGACTGTGTGTTAGTTTAGGTTTTGTGGGTTACTTGGCATGATTTAATAGGTTACCTTTTAGGTCTGGGAACACTCAAAAAAAATTAATGGTAATTACTTCATTGCTTTAAACCATTTCAGCTTAGCAAAACGTTTGATAATAATGTTCTACTTTTTGGTATTATGGGAAACCTGTACCCAAAAAACCTGAAAAGTAAAAAAAAAAAAAAGTGTCTAGGAAGACAAGGTGTGCAAAATATGAAAATAATCCTACTATCCCTCTTGGCTCTGCTGTGAATTGCCATAATTGAGTTAACACTGACTATGGGTCCCCCAACATCATGATGTAATACTATCAAGAGGATGGGACATAAGGAAATACACTTGTATATAGTGGTGGGGGAGGGGGAACCCTTGTAGAAATATCAACTCTTCAGATTCTGTGCTTGTTGAACATTGATAAAAATAAAAATTAAACTTCAAAGAAGGAAAAGTAAAGGGGTAGTTCAAATAAGAAAAAAAAAAAGACAAACAAGGATTTGTTACTATAAACGCCAAAGAGAATGCTTAACAATGAATAGAAAATAAGGAATTAAGATTAGCTTCAAGAATCATTTCCTAAAACCAGTGACTAAAAAGAGCAAGTTGTGTGATTTTATGTTCTTCCTCTCTCTCCAGCAACCCTCAGGGGCTGGTCAAATGTTAGTGTTTATCCTCTCTAAGGTGTAGGGTCTGGGGACCACAATTTGGGATTGGCTTCTACTTGAGTAGGATGATTAGGAGCTCTGGCAGATGGTGAACCGCACCATCTAACCTACTCTCCTTTTCAGCTGTATCTCTCTGCCTCTCATGTGTTTCTTAAAATATTTTATCTCCAGCCATCTTGCTATATCCCCACCCTGCTGGCTTCCTGGTCTAAGCTCATCTGTCTGTCCACCTGTCTCTGACTCATTCCTCACTCTGACCTTGCCCTCTGCATTTGCTTAGAATGCCCTATTCATTTCCTTGCCCTAATTCTTAACTCCTGTTCCCCTCTCCTCATCAAAACTTAACTCAATCCACTTTGGAAAAAAACAAGGCAAATGAAACTGCTGGGAAGAATGTGGAGAATCTGCAGTTCAGCCCTTTCTTTAGAGCCAGAGTAGCAGCTGAGGATGTGTGTGTGTGTGTGTGTGTGTGTGTGTGTGTGTGTGTGTGTGTGT